GCGGCATTGTTCGCCGCCTCCTGATCACAGGGAGGGCACGGCGTGGTGCGCCGATAATGCGGGGGGAGGACGACCCTTCATTACCTGCGGTGGCGCCGCGGCCGCTTCGGAATGTGATACGGCGCCCGCGCGCCGGTGGTCAACCGCCGGCATGGCTTCTGTTTGGTCTCTTAACGTTGCGCCGCGGCAGATGGCGGCTTCCGTGTTTGTGGGGTCACGATACGGGCGTTTTAATTGCGCGGATGTGCGCTTGTTTGTTTAGCCGCGCCGTGCGTTTGGCAGCCAGGGGTGATCAGTTGCGTGTTAAACGCGCAACAAGGTATCGGCTTTTTCCGCGAGCATGGAATGTTTGTCATGCAGATCCATGCGCGTCCAGGATGTCCAGGAAACGCGGATCGTTCTTGGCCAGATTGTCCTTCCGAGCTTACGCATGTTGGACACGAGGAGCGGCCCTCGTTCGGGGCTCTGTTACTGGCAGGCTGGAGACCGGCACCGCCACGCACATGCTCACATCTGTGGCACGGCCGTCGCTGCAGGACTCAGGAGCACGTCTGTGTGTCTCGTGTTATCTGCTGCGGAGCCGAGACCACACGATGCCAATGTCAGCTGTATGATACTCTGATTGCAGAGAGAAACTGCAACTGCTATTTCTGGAGAGGTCGGACCAGGTCGGACAAGGGCCAACGAGCAAGCTCGAAGTCGACATAGGATGCATCTGAACAGAAAAGATTTTGCTGAGTGCCCATGCGTCCGGTTACAAGTCATGTTATGTCATTTCAACTGGGAGTAGATCAATGACAAACTTCAGACGATATCTTATTGCAGATGGTTCCAAGTTGCTCCTCATATGGCACGTATTCAAACGCACGTTCTCGGATGTAACGAGGCAAAACCACTGGCCGAGACAGGTCTTACCATTGGAACGCGAACATACCGAGAACGGTCTCGCGATTCCGAATGGAAGCATGCGTTTATTGATGGGAAGTGGTGATATATATAGGTCATTTATTTATAAAGCAGATATGGATATAAATATATAGACACACACACACACACGCACACGCACACGCACACGCACACGCACACGCACGCACACACACACACACACACACACACACACACACACACACACACACACACACACACACACACACACACATACACACACACACACACACATACACACACACACACACACACACACACACACACACACATATATATATATATATATATATATATATATATATATATATATATGGTCGGAATATATCTGTTTAAACATAACAGAAATCCTACAATAGCATAACATATATATATATATATATATATATATATATATATATATATATATATATATATATATATGTACAGGCCAATCATAACTTATCTATTCCAGTGGTCGAAGAACTGGCACAGATGCCGATATGTTTGGGGGATCTCCTATTTTCCTTTTCATCTCTCCGATTTCCTACTGGGATCTCCGTCTTATCACAACTAACGAGCAGTTACTGAGCAGTCAGACGAGCAGCTACTGACGTTGAATTAGCTAGCAGTGATCACGCAGTCAATACATGCACCAACACCCAATATAGTACATGCGAAATCGCTGAGCTGAGGGACCGAGTTTTCAAAACAACTTGATCCAACTTATGGTCCTATCGTGCTTTAAACTCCCAATGTGCGACGATGCCTTAACAAACTCTCTCAGTGGCTGGGGCGCAACACTACCGTCTGGGAAGTTTAGCAGTCGCCGACCGACGAGCAGCAGCACAGCCGCCATCTATAATTCTGTCGGCGCCTCCCACCGATAGGTGTCGCAGCTGTGGTGTTCCGAATGAACTAGGACCTTACGAGCATCGTGGACCACCCTCCGGGGTTGAGGCTGCAGTTCAAAGCATCGCATTCGCTTAAGTTGCTATAAAACCGCCAGGTCCAGTCGGTGAAAACTGCCGTTTCATTTGCAAAAGCTATATGGTGGCAAAGTGCAGTTCAATTCAAGCTCGAAACTTTACATCTCGAAACCTCATGGTTTTGCAGCCAACAATTTTCAACAATTAAGAACAGCTCATTTAACGATACAACTAGGTCGGTCAGCGTCTGGAAGAATCACCTCCAGCCATATGAAATCCTACAATAGCATAACAGGACAGCGTCGCAGACTTCGGGGCATCAGAGAAAGACCAGCCTTGTGCGGAGTTCGGCATACCCCAGGTCTGCACATCGCAGGACAGATGACTAACGGAGCAGAGCACGGAACTTAGCAAAGGACAGAACGGAGGACAAGCATGAAGATGGCGCAGAGCACAGCACGGATGACAGAACAGATGACAGGGCAGGGGCCGGACTGCAAGACCACTCAGAATACGTGGTAGGGAGCAGGCCACAGGACCGATCAGAAGGCAAGGCAAGGGGCAGGCCGCACGAACGCTCAGAAGACAGAGCAGGGGACGAGCCGCAGGACTGCTCAGAGGACATGGCGAAGGACAGGACGCAGGACACCGCAGAGGAAAGAGCAGGGGTGAGTAAGAGTATAGGAAAAGGGACCAAGGGCGGGAAGGGCAGCGACCGTGAGATGAGATAGAGGGAAGTGCAGGACTGAGCGGACAGAGGATAGGGCAGAGGGCATAACAGGGCAGAGAATGGCAGTGTAGTGGGCAAGAACAATAGTAAAGTGCAATGTGGAAAGCTTGACCTGGGCAGGGCACGGCAGGACGTGGAACTTGGCTGTGCAGGACGTAGAGCATAACAGCAGACGCCACAGGGCAGGACGAGGACAGACCAGGGCAACTGAAGATGTAGCATAAGGAGTATGGAACGATAGAGCACACAGCAGCACAGAGGGCACAAAGTATGGGACAGAAGACAGAGACCAGGGCAGAGAGCAGAGGACGGGCGGAGAGGACGACGGACAACACAGGTGAGAAGGCGGAGGACACAATAAGACAACATCGGTCCTACATCACCCGCCCAGTCATAAGAGTGATGCTGTCCTATCCTGCTCTCTGTGCTGTCCAGTCAGCAATGCTCCGGCTCATCCTGCCCCGTCCCGTTCGGCACCGCGCAGGGCAGGATTGGTATTAGGACGGGACAGGACCGGTCTGGGCACAGGACGGGGCCGGTGCTGGGACAGAACAGAACCGGTATTGGGACAAGACGGGACCGGTATTGGATCTGGGCAGGACCGGTTTTGGGACGGGACAGGACCGGTACCTGAACAGGGCTGGACTAAAGCTGTCTCGTTCTGTCCCGTCATGTCACCTGTCTCGTTCATTATTAGCCGCCCCGTCCTGCGCGGCCTCTTTTCTCGAACATATTGTCTACTGTTCTGTCCAGTGTTTTGTCAATCTTAACCCATCCCTGCCCCCAGTCCGGACCCTCTTAACACGCCCAGTTATTTGTCCCCTCTCATGCTCCTCATGCATTTGTGTTGTCACCTGGCCCACCCTTGACGTTGCTCTTGCGGCATACGTGCAACCCTTCGTCTGTCCTCGCTTTGCACAACAAACTTGCAATTGCCCTGGCTTCTGACCAGTACGGTCACGCCTCTGATACTCCTGTTCCGGCCATGTTGCAGGATATGTTGGTCCGTCTTGCGACGGTGACGGCGGACATGGCGTGGCGGAAAGGCATCAAGTCCGCACCAAGGCCGAACCAAGGTCGATCTTTATACTTACGAAACAAATTTCGACAAGCGTAAACGCTCTTCAGCTGCAAGCGGGCGGGCGTTGTCAATGGAAGATTGGAATTAAATTGTGTCTCTCTTCACACCCAGATAAAATCAGATATCAAACACTCATATGTAGTCAGAACTCCCACATTGGTAGCAGATTTGACAGCGTTTTAGATGGAGACAACTTGCCCAAGGCAAACAGCAGCAAGACGGGCACAATAACCAAAAAGAACCGAGAACCAACAGCGAAGAAGATCGCCCTGATTGTTAAGTGCATTGACGTCCCTGACGCTCAGGCTGTGGATCCATTTCCCGTGTCCGTCGCAGGTGCAGCCTGTTCAATACGGAATGGTGAGCGTGACACTCGTCATACAATTACAGGAGGAAAATGCAGGAAATGCAGGCTTGGTGTTTGCAATTCGTAACAATCAGACTCAAACCACACGGGCAAGCTTGGAAGCCTCAACGGAATGTTCTGAGACTAAAATGAGTACTTCTGTTGCAGTCAGCTGATGAAGACTAACCAAACTGACGACGCGGATGATACATAAATCTCAGAGAAACATGGACGACTTATGAAATAAACTACTGTACAAAACGAAACGCCAACTGTCCCGATCAATGCCTGCTGTCACTAATCCAGAAGAGGTATCGCGCACCACACCATTCCCGCCCGGCGATTCGCGGCATCCGGCCCATCCGGCGCCGCCGATGTCTACACTGTTCCGTCCGAGAAATCCACCTGAGCGGCGCCCATCCACTGCAGCCCGGCCGGCCACTCGGGCTCCATCGACTGACCGGCCGGCGCGGCCGGCTCGGACTCGTCCTCATCGCCCTTCGTCACCAGTCCGAAGCGGGGCCGGGCCTGCACTCGGTTGCGGAGAATGGTTGGCCGCCGTGGCCGTCGCTTCGCCGAAGCCGGAGCCGGTGCGGGCTGCTGCTCTTGTTGTATCGCCTGCTCCTGCTCCTGTTCCTGTTCCGGCTCCTGCTCCGGCTCCGGCTCCTGCTCCGTGTCGTCATTGGGCATGAGCACGAGGAAGTGGTCGGTGGGTGGCGGCGACCCGCCGACGGCGCGGTCCACGTACAGCGGCTCGCCCGCGTCGTCAAGCAATACGCCGTCAGGGCCAGCGTGTGCCGTCTCCAGTAGGCTGCTGGCCGCCGCTGAGCGCGCCACCACCGTAGCGGCCGCGCCGCCGCGCCGGCCGAGCGCGCCCGCGCCCTCTGCCGTGAAGTAGATGTACTTGTCATGGTCGGACGGCGGCTGTAGCGGCCGGCTGGCGGCTACACGCGCCCGTTTGGTCATGTGCTTACGCCGGTGACCGCTCACCATCTCCTGATACATGCGCTGCGTCTCCGGGTCACGCTGCGACGAACCGCGGAGCACCGCGAGGCCGGGCAGCGGCACGCGCAGCACCTCCTTGACGTAGGCGTAGGCGCGGCGCGTGCAGAGCCGGCGCAGGCCGATGGCACGCTTGATGTCGAGCGTGTCCCACATGTGCATGCGCTGTGACTTGTTCTGTACCATCTTGAGCTGCGCCGGCGTGAAGATGTCTCGCAGCTTCTCCTCGAAGAGGCGGCTGGCGCGAGCGGCCTCACGCCGCGCCGCCGCCACCTGTGCCGCCTGCTCGTGCTCGCGGCGCGCGGCGCGCAGCAGCTGGCCCCGCAGCTCCAAGTTCTCTAGCCGCTGCTGGTGCAGCAGCTGCAGCGCCTGCGGCAGGCTGGACGGCGTGCTGTAATTGTCGGCCTCGGGCAGCGTCAGCTTGGGCGGCGGCGGCGGCGCGTCGCCGCGTAGCACCATGAGCGCCTCGTCGTCGGTGCCCGCCTCGGCCGCCGCTGCTGCCGCCGCCTCCTCCAGCTGCTTCTCCAGCTGCTGCAGTTCGCGCTGCTTGGCCAGGACCTCGCGGAAGCGCTGCGACGTGTTGGGCGGCAGCTTGGCGGCCGGTCGCAGCTCCTCATCCTCCTCGACGGCGTCTCGCTCCACGCGGGGTCGCTTTCCGCCTGGCGCCGCGCCGCCGCCGCGCGCTCGCCTCATGCCACGGGGACGGCCGCGCCGGCCGCGCGTCGCCCCGCGCGCCGGCGCGCCGCCCTCGACGGTCACCTCCAGCGCGCTGTCGTCGGCCGACAGGCTTACGTACAGTGTCTGTACCGGCTCGGCGGCGCCGGCCGCACGCTCACGGCACTCATACTCATCCATCGCCTGCTGGACGAGCTGCGCGCGCACGGCCGGGTCGGAGAGGTCGGGGGGCGGCGAGCGCGGTCGCCGCGACCTCAGCGGCGGCCGGCCGCGGCGCGCGCGGGGTGGCCGGCCGCGGCCGCGGCGCTCCGGCGGCGCCGGCAGCGGGTCGTCGAAGAGGATTGGGTGCGCGTCCTGCAGACGCGCCGAGGGCCGCACGCGGCGCGCGCCGCTCCCCTCCTGGCGCACGAACATGGAGGGCGGCTCAACCGGCGCAAGCGGTGCCACGGCCAGGCTGCGGGCGGAGACGGCGGTCAGCTGGGACAGGTGGACCTCGGGGTCACCTGCACTTATCGCAGATGGAAATGCAGCCGCGCTGCCGATATTAGAACAAAGCGCACGACACAAGCACAAATCATGAGATCAACATATAACAATAAAGAACTAATTATAAGGAAAGCACACCTCAGTCATTTGGTTTCTCATCATGGTTTCTGATCAATCACTACAAATTTCAGACTAAGGGATGACCTGACCACACCTAGCGGCCGCCAGAAGCGGCTGGCGGGCGTCGGCCGGCCCGGCGCTGCTCACCTCTCCTCCAGCCAGCCGGGCACCCCGCGCGATGGCACCACGCCCGGCCGCAGGCGCGGCTTGGGGTTCACTTGGCCCGGGTACAGCCGCTCCCACTGCGCGTCCGGCTCCAGGTCGGCCGGCGTGAAGTGGTCGGTGCAGAGGCGGGTCACACCGCGTACCACGTGACGCACGCCGGTCAGCGCGCGCCACACGCGCAGCTGGCCGGCCGACGTCGGGAACTCGACCAGGCCGACGGCGTCGCTGCTGGCCGCGTGGTGCGGGCACTCCTCAATGGCACAGTAGACCTTCATAGTGCTGGCACGCCGCGCCGCACACACCACAGGTTGGAAGACACTGCAGTAGGAGGGGGAGTTAGTAGAACAGGTGCAGACAGCTGTAGTGTGTCAGCAGACAGCTTGTGTGGATGTGATCACAACTTTGGTGTACCCTTCAACAGCTGTAATTGTATAAAAGATTGAGATGAAAACCTGGGGAACACAGGCATCAAGTCTGCATCTTGCCATGTTTTCAGCATTCAACGAGATACATTGTTACGCAGGACTGAAATGATGATTGGCCAAAGGTTGTCAACAACAAAGGTGCAAATGCTGAGAACTTGCAATTCAGTCAGTCTTTTGGGCACTGTAATCTGATAACTGTTAGCCTTTTGCTTATTGCTATCATGTCCAAAAGCAGGGCAGTGAGTCCTACCAATGTCATGTTAAGCTCCTATAAATTTGCAATTCATGTAAAGGCTAAAGGATGCAATCAAACTGTGTGAGTCTTTACATATAATACATCATGCGCCTCATACCCACCACACCACACCTTATATTTAGTTTCTGCCACCTTTATTGGCACACATACTGATATTCCTCTAAATTTCATGTTGGCTTACTTAATACCTACATTTTGCTGATACTATATTATTTCTTGATCATTTCAAAAAGGCTCATTTTCACTTTTTCTAAACCCTTCATATTGTTTCTATTCCCCTCCTGATGGGTATTCATCAACAACCACCTTCTTTGCACCATATCATGAGTGGAGAGTTCCTCCAAACAGTTCATAGCACCCCAGCAAGTCTGAGGTTTGCATGTTACAGTGTTGAGTGGCAAATGGGTTGGGAATATTGGGAATATTTGTATTTCACTCCCACAGGCTGGCAGAGACAGCACTTTATGCATGCTCATAAAATGGCGATTAAACAAAACACGACAACCCTCGTTCTTATCCGAATATTAACGGTTTTTAGGTTTTTCACGACACTCATGAACTCTTGCTTCTCCAACCCAGAATCAAACATGAGAACCTTACCTTTTCCTAGGAAAGTGTCCTAGATTTTGTATGCATCTAAATCAAGGTCTTGCCAGATACGAAATGGACCACAAATCCTGAACAACAGCAGACCCACCGAGAGGCAATGCATTCACACACCAACAGCAATGCGACGCCAGTAGCCTTTGGTGAAGCTTTCGTTGCCCTGAGGTGAAGCAATAGTTCTCAAGATATTTTGCGTTCAGTTATGACGCTTTTGTGACATTTACGATACGGGGATGCGGGTGAACGAAAGCTTATAAAACTTATTGCTAGGTGACAGTAGTGTCAGTGAGACACCAAATTCACAGGATGGGTTAACCTGCATGTGAGCTCATTTGTGCCAAAAGTTGAGGTTTCTAAGTCATGGTATTCGGTCAAATGACGTCAATCAAGGTCAAACAAAGCGAGGGCAGATTGGTGTCCAAAGTGCCCATTCAATCTTACCTTACCTTACCTTATGGTGATCGGGCATTGTAGGAGGCCACTAGGCCTATAGGTCTCGGTCTCGTCAGGGTCCCGCTTCGGTAACCAAACAGTCTCAAATTATGGGGAGATTCAGTGTGGGACGTCGCACATGATGTCAGCCCAGTGCGTATCAAGTCTACACTTGAACTGTTCGACTGAGGTCGACGACACGACCTCAGAAGAGCGTTCCAGTCGTTGACACCCCGCGTGCTGAATGAGTTACGACGGACGAGAGTCCTAGCTCGAGGTTTTCGGAGCTTCCATTGGTGTCCTCTCGTCACCTCCGTGTTGTGCCTTGCCAGGAACTCCCCTTCCGACAGCGACATACCTCCGTGAAGCAGCTGGTACACTGTTAACATGTCTCCCCTACGACGACGATAGTACAGCGATGGCAACTGAAGGAGTCGGTGCCTCTCAGGGTATGGCTGGCGCCTCACTTCATAGACAAGCCGGATAGCTCGTCGCTGAACCCGTTCCAGCTGCTTCTGGTCCAGTTTGCTGAACGGACCCCAGATAACGCTGCCATACTCTATGTACGGACGTACTAAGATCTTAAAAAGCAATGGCAACGCGCGAGCATCGATATTGGCAAAAGACCGCCTAACGACAGCCAGCATCTGGTTGGCCTTGGAGATCGCTTCCGCCGTCTGCACGTGGAACTGGAGCCGGTGATCCACGAAAATCCCGAGGCCCTTCTCGGTGGACTCGACCGCGATTTCGGCGCCGTCCAAGAAGTACGTCAGCCTCGGGTTGCAGTTCCCGATGTGCATTATTTTGCACTTTGCTGCATTAAAGGGGAGCAGCCACTCCTTTGTCCACTTGGCCAGGGCGGTCGAGGTCAGCCTGCCTCAACCAACGATGTCAACCTCTTCATGCAACCGTCTTGAACCTAGATACCCGTTGTAAGCAGAAGGTCACTGGTGTTCATATTAGGTCAACAATCATGTTTGACCTTTACAAGGTCATGCTTATCAAAATATCCGACATTGTTTTGATTTCCAGTTTGATTAAATGTCAAGGATTACGCCAGGCGGTATGTTCCCCAAAAACAAACTGCTGATGTGGGTCATTTTGGGTCAGTGGGCTACTCTGACCTTAAACACGCGCTCGGGTGGGGGTCAAATTGACCCTCTCCCCGAGAGTTTTTCGGAACAGTTTCCGAACGGCGCGGGGCAGCCGCGCCAAATTTTGCATGGCTGAAGACAATGGAACAGCGGATCGTGTGGTATCAAAAAATTGGATCTCCTTGTAAGGTCGCTGACCCACGACAGTTCAAAATCAGGCCATGGATTCACAGAAGTCAAGTTCAGGAGAATCGTACAATCTGATGAAACAATGGAGTGTTATGCGAATCTCTACATCTCTCAGATACTTTCTTAGGCAGCACAACAATTGAATGACCAAATTCCACTGACCTAGAGTCAGATATGACGATCAGACCAACGTTTTCGAATATATTGATAACATGAACCATATCGGACATTTTTCATGGAATTCTTATATGTTGGATTGAGTCACCAGTCCAAAATGACCCAGGTCTGAACATCCTGCCTAGCTTAATGTTTGATGCTTATTCAAATGTAAACTCAAAACAATCTTCTATGATTTTGGTCACCATGACCTTCGAAAAGTCAAACAAGGTCAATCATCTTGAATGAGGATGCAAACTTTTGCTTAGAACAGGCATCTAGGTTCTGGGGACACTTTGAAAACCAACCTGGAGTTTGACATTGTTTGACATTATTTGACACAAAGATGATGATCTAGGAGACTCAAACTTAACCTAGGTGAGTTCACGTATAGGCCAATACACCCTGTGAATTTGGCGTCTCTAGCCCCCTTAGTTCCTAAGATTTCAGGGGGTCAAATTGACCCCCACCCGAGTGAAGGGTATCAAACCGGCCACCCGGGTGCGTGTTAAATAAGTTCATGGAAGCCTCTGTTGCGGTCCCTGTTATCAGGAAATTCGAAAAGAGCCTCAGAAATAACTCTGCTAATCAAGCTCTCCAATAGAGAAGCAGGCCTGGCTTTGACCTCGGTCTGGCCTTAATACCTGAACCGACGTCAATGGATTCTGCCGTAATCCCAGATACAGTTGTTTTATTGTCTAAGTTCTATCTCAGAGATGCATGGCTTCGTCTAACACTCAGTTGGTCCGCAGCAGTCGAAAAGTTCCTAGATATTGCCTTAGCTGACAGCCATGGCCGCCTTTGGCCTATCTTGGGTCAGCGACGTTAATAAGGTTGCATCTAATTTTGCTCACCAAAATATCTGCTATCTAACTGCGTACAGCTATGCCAAGTCTAGCACGGCTACATCTCGCTTTTCGGAAATCGTTCTCGAAAAAACCTCCGGGGGTTAGACTGACACTCGCCCCAACTAAGCGCGTGTTACTATGTGCGTGACTACTTATAGGCAGTCGAAATCCTGTTAGGCAAGCAAAATAAGATTGGGAGCATGTGATGGCATTTCACGGCCCGCAAGAAATCTTGCTCGCCTGCGACGCGCTGAGCTTGGTTTTCAGTAAGGATTTTTGGGTGTGCCCTAGCCTCCCTTGTTTGGGACGTGAAAGAGTAAGCGTTCATTTGGAGGCAATCGCAAATTCGGGATCATGTAAATGTATTGGCGTATGCTAGCGATGCATAGGGTGCACGGATACTTTATGCCAGCTGCCATGTGCGATGTCTTACGCAGACCGTGATGCACTACGCTGTAAAAAAGGATTGTTCGACAGCGCATTACACGACAGCCATAAGATGTAAGCACGAGCGGTGACAGCGAAGGAAGGGAGATGTGGGAAGATGCCCCCATTATCTCCTCCCACTCCCGCCCCCCCCCCCCCCCCTCCCATCCGACGCCTGGAAAAAAGCCGTAACAAGTCTTGAGTGATGCTGTGAGAGTGATTGCCAACATCCCAGATCTACGGAATTTATAGCTTAAACGTTTACTACGTTGTGAAGAAAGAACCGAAGGGACAAATCGCGTTTCCTCCGGAAGTCCCAGAAGGTTCGTCACCAGTGGAAGCAATTTGAGCCATGGCCAACAGATCCCAGGGTGATGGCCGGACCCCACTTGCAGTTGGGTCTGAGACTACACATTTTGCGCCGACTCGCGGTAGATTCGCCGCATTTGGTTTTACGTCCGTCTTATCTTGCCAGCGGTCGTAGTTGTTTATAAAATTGAGAAAAACCGATGTGGAATCCAGCAGAAAGGTCACAGGCATGCAAAGCGCCTGTTGGTCACATCCTTGGCCCAATTTTCTGCACACACCCACGCCAAAAGCATTCATCGTGTGTCGCGAGAGTCCCATTACATTCATAGTGTGAAAAACTGCGCTCGGTCTTATCGGAGGGGAGGGTTCAAGTCTCGTAAGCCCTCACTGTGGCTACGTCACCGTGTTTGACTGCCTGGCAGAATCTTCTGACGTTCTAAGGCGTCTGCTGCTCAGTTTTGGTTTTCCTCACTTTTCATTCAAAACAGCTGCCTTACCTTTTATAGACTGTTTGGCCATATCCAGAGTGCATGCATCCACCGGGACTCCGAGCTGTTTTTCTGAATCGTCTCAAAGACCTTTGAGGACGTGGGCCGCCGGCAAATGAGGGTTTCACTGCGGGGCTGGGGGAATTTGTAGTTCACTGGGGAGGGGGGGGGGGGACGATCAACAGGACTCACCCACACCCACCTTCCGAGCAAAATGGTACATTGCACGAGCGTGGAGCACGAGGCATGACGTAGGTAGGCTCAGCGTGCCTTGCTCGAGGACCGAGGGAGGGAAGCGGCGCTTCTCTGACCAGATGTGTCGAACTTGTTGCACCAATTCCCGCCCAGGGTAGTCTCTGCGCGCCTTGCTAGAGTAACGAGGAGGGAAGCGGCGCTCTCTGCCAGACCCGAACTTATAGCACCAGTTCCCGCCCAGGTAGTCTCTGCGTGCCTTGCTAGAGTAACGAGGAGGGGAGCGGCGCTTCTCTGCCAGACCCGAACTTATAGCACCAGTTCCCGCCCAGGTAGTCTCTTGCGTGCCTTGCTAGAGTAACGAGGAAGGGAAGCGGCGCTTCTCTGCCAGACCCGAACTTATAGGCACCAGTTCCCGGCCGAAGTCGCGGGGGATTGAGCTCACGGGCACTTTCACAGCCGTCAGTCGTGATATGCTAGATCGGTCGCCAGATCAGGACACGGTAGGAAGCGTGCGGGCCTGTCTGGTCTTGTCAGCATATAAATGTGTGCTACATATACGCATACCGTAGCCACTTAAGCGTGTGTGTCCTGCATGCTGCATGCTAACCTGATATGTGACTCGGGGATTAGAAGTCGCTGTAACGGTGGTCAATATATGCGTGCGTCAATCCCGCGACGGCACATTTTGCACACGTCACATCGGCGACGTAACAAACATACGCGCCATTCGTACGCGTAACAACATCAAAACTTACATTTATACATTTTCTCCGAAATGTATTGCCAGCGTCCTACGCAACTGCAAAACAACTTCCATCCCGCAGCTCTATATTCAATGTCGGGGGTTGGGCTCAACCGATAGCGAACGTTGACGACAAAGTCTGGCCAAACATTCAACTGTATTCGAAATGTGCATACAACTCAGGAGCAGCCCAGTTTGCAACATCTATCACAGACAGCGGCGACAGCGCATTCACGCGGACACAACTCTCACGAACACTGGCGCGGCGGG